TGTTGTTTTCTGTTTCTGGTTGTGGTGGTGGTGGTGGTTCTTGTTATTGTTGTTGTTGTTTGTGATTGGGTCTCCTCGCTCTGTCACCTGAGCTGCGGTACTGGAGCAAACATGGCTCACTGTAACCTTGACCTCCCAGACTCCGTGATCCTCCCACTTCAGCCTTCCAAGTAGCTGGGACCACAGGCCCACACCACCATACCCAACTAATTTTTTAAGTATTTGTAGAGACAAGGTGTTGCTGTGTTGCCCAAGCTGGTCTTGAACTCAAAGGATCAAGCAGTCCTTCCCCCTCAGGATTACAAGCATGTGCCACCACACCTGGACAGGGTCTTTTCTGTGTGTGTGTTTAAAATTATGCGTAAGGCATTGATGGCTGAAACAAATTTTTACACAATTTCTACAAAGTAAATTCTGAAATAATATTTCTGTAAAGTATACTCTGATTTTTTTCTTAAGGCTGGTCATTTTTCTAGAAGGCAATTGCATAAAGAAAAGAGTAGAGAGAGAACTGTCCTAGATTAAAAAGATAGATAGGCTGGGTGTGGTGGCTCACACCTGCAGTCCCAGCACTTTGGGAGGCCGAGGCAGGCAGGTCACCTGAGGTCAGGAGGTCAACAACAACAGCAACAACAACCAGAAACAGAAAAAAAAAAACAAAAAACTCTCCCAGGAAATGGAAACTCTGCCAGTCTGGCCAACATGGTGAAACCCCATCTCTACTAAAAGTACAAAAGTTTGGCTGGGCATGGTGGCTTGTGCCTATAATCCCAGCACTTTGGGAGGCCAAGGCAGGCGGATCATGAGGTCAGGAGTTCAAGACCAGCCTGACCAACATGATGAAACCCCGTCTCTACTAAAAATAGAAAATTAGCTGGGATGGTTACTTGCACCTGTAATCCCAGCTACTCAGGAGGCTGAGGCAGGAGAATCGCTTGAACCAGGGAGGCGGAGGTTGCAGTGAGCAGAGATCATGCTACTGCACTCCAGCCTGGGCGACAGAGTAAGACTTCATCTCAAAAAAAAAAAGAAAAGAAACCCTGTCTCTACTAAAAATACAAAAAATTAGCCGCACATGGGTAACACACACCTGTAGTCCCAGCTACTCAGGAGGCTGAGGCAGGAGAATCACTTGAACCCGGGAGGCGGAGGTTGCAGTGAGCCAAGATCGTGCCATTGCACTCCATCCTGGGTGACAGAGTGAGACTCCATCACACACACACAAAAATAATGGATAGATACATCGCAGTGTTTGAAACTTGATTGGACCGTGGTTTAAAAGAAGAATATCTAAAGTAGGACAATTATGGAAATTTAAACATGTTCTAGATATTAGCTAGTAGTGTGATCATGATGTTGTGGTTATGTAGTAGAATGTAGTATGTGAATTCTGAAACACTTAGGACAAAAGCATGTGCCACTTTTAAAGGATTCACCAAAAAGAGTGTGTATGTATTTATGCAGAGATAATGCAAGTGTGACAAAATGTAAAACTTTTTAGAAAAATAAATGCTTATCATAACCCACTGGACTGATTTTTGTAGTCTGCTACAAACTTTACTAAGTAAAGTTTGAAAAACACCTAAGTGAGGCCGGGCACGGTGGCTCAAGCCTGTAATCCCAGCACTTTGGGAGGCCGAGATGGGAGGATCACAAGGTCAGGAGATCGAGACCATCCTGGCTAACACGGTGAAACCCCGTCTCCACTAAAAAATACAAAATCTAGCCAGGCAAGGTGGCGGGCGCCTGTAGTCCCAGCTACTC